GCAGCAGCGCTGGCTAGTGGCACAGGGCAGTCTGCGTCTTTGCCCTGGCCCAGCATGATGCTGGGAAGTCCCCCAGCTGCGCTGATCGGGGATACGCAGCCAAGGGAGGGCAGCCCAGGTTTCAGTGGGCAGTGATGGGAGGGAGAAGCCCAGGGCTACCGGAGGACAAGCACCGCCTCCTTGTGACGCTTGGTTCCTGCTCCGCGGGTGGGGCTGGGCTGGGGTTTGATCCAGGACAGGACTTTGCCCCCAGCATGATGCTGGGAAGTCCCCCAGCTGCGCTGATCGGGGATACGCAGCCAAGGGAGGGCAGCCCAGGTTTCAGTGGGCAGTGATGGGAGGGAGAAGCCCAGGGCTACCGGAGGACAAGCACCGCCTCCTTGTGACGCTTGGTTCCTGCTCCGCGGGTGGGGCTGGGCTGGGGTTTGATCCAGGACAGGACTTTGCCTCGCCCCTGGCTGCTTACGGTTCCTTAACAGCCTCGCAAGGACCTTGCCAAGGCTTTTTGAAAGGCCCGAGACAGCCCACCCTGCATTTTCTCCACGACTTGGCCCGCTCCAAGATTTCTAGCCAGTTAGATGCAGGATCTTGCTGTACAGCTGCTGTGCTGCTGGGTGCCAGTTCTCCCAGGCGGACTCGCCCGATACTCCCACGTGGCCTGCGGAAGGCCTGTGTGCCCAGGCCAAAAGGAAAACCCCGTTCACGGGCCTGCAGCCTTTGGGCGCAGGAGGCGATTTTAACTGAGCTTTCCTAGCGGGTAGCTCCTTCAGCCACCGTCCTGAGGCTCCATCCCCCCAGCACTCGGGAGCTGCTGCTTTCCAGCCTATGGAGTTGGGTGGAGGAGCTCCCGCACTTGCGGAGAACCGCGCCGGCTGACAAAGCCTCGTCTTTACGCCCGGGGTGGTGCGGCGTGAGGGCCGGGGCAGCTCTTGTGCCTGCCGTCTCAGCAGCCTGGAAGTGGGGCCGGAAATGCAGCAAGGCTGGTTCATTCCAGCGAGCGCCCCGGAGCCCCCTCCCAGCAGCCAACCACCACAGCTCACCCGGGAATCGGGGATGTCCGGCAGAGAAAGGAGGAAAAGCAGCAGCTGCGAAGGAGGAATTTTATTCACCTGCCGTATCGCAAACCAGCCTGATCACAAACATTCTCAGGCAGGAGCCCGGCCCGGCTGATGGGTGGGACCCCACAATACCCGGGCCAGCTCCCAGAGACAAGTCCCAGCATGCACTGCTCCAGCTCCAGCTCCTGGGAGACTCCGGTCTGTGTGGCCCAGCTTTCGTCCCAGTTAGGGCCCCCACCAGCTGCTCCATTTGATGTCACTTACGTGGGGCCCTGGGCTCCTGAGAAGCTGCCCCTGCAGCTCTGCCTTCGGAGACACGGGATTTGCTGCTGTGCCCCCCACCCCCCGGGCCAGGCGGCGCAACAGTGGCAGGGGGACCAGGTCTCCCGCATCCGGAGCCTGCTGGAAAGGTGCAGGGCACGGCCCGAGCGCCTGGCAGGTTCTGCACCCCCGGGGCAGAAGCACGGAGCTGGCCATTCCCAGGACCCTGCTTTCCCCACTC